AGCTGCCCACACCCCAGGAGGAGCCCACGTGGGGCAGCAGGTCCGCCCCCGGGAGGCCCCGCTCACTAACCGAGAAGAAGCCCAGGATCTCGGGTCTCCGCCGGGACATCTCGTCTATGTCGCCCAGAACCTCCAGCAGATCTGTGGGGGCAGGGGTCACACGCGGGGGGCGGCTGCAGCAGGACCGGCCGGCAGTGCCTCGCGCCACCCGCCAGCAGGGACAGAGGTCAGGAGCGTCCCAGGGCCTGGCCTAGCTCTGCGGGCTCCCTGGGTGCAGTGTGCCCATCACTGGAGCCCACGCCTCCCGGAACCTTCTGCACTGTCCTCGGCGCTGGGTAAGGCCCAGGGGGAAAGCACCCCACGTTCCGCTGGCCAGTGACCAGCCACGGCGCCGGCCAACGGGGAGCTTTCAGGGGTGCACACCCTCCCCGAGCCTCTTCAGCCCTGAGGGCCAGGGCTCTGCATCTATGCCAGGCTCCTCAGACGCCCCACCCCTCCTGCCAGGTGGCAGCTCAGCCCCAGGCACACGTCACTCCCAGGCCTCCCAGCACCACCCCCGGGTGCCAGCAGCCCAAGGCCCCGGCCCCGAGGCCTCCTCTCCTGCAGACGCCGCCAGCCGCCAGTTCCCCTTTGCCGGTACCTCCCCCCCCACTGCAGGGTCTCCCCAACCTTCTGCTTTGCCTGCAGCCAGCTGCCCTCCCTCCAGCGCCCTCTGCACCCCCAGGAGGCAGCAGCCCCGCCCCTCCCAGGCCAGCAAGGCTGCTCTTCTGGGTGCCCTGCAGGGAGGCTCTAGGCCCAGCCCCAGCCTCACCCTCAACGGTCTGGCCTCGGGAGAGCCTCTTCATGTAGGGGGCCATCTCGGCTGTGGTCAGCGGGGTGAAGAGGGAGACGCTGACCAGGGGCAGGGAGCCCGCCGAGCTCTCGTCTGGAAGACAGGAAGCCAGGCCTGTGGCTGCAGACACGGCCGTCCCGGAATGCTGTCTGCGCAGGGCCGCCCGGGGCGATCAGGGAACACCCACATCGAGGCTGCAGGACCCGTGGGTACAAGCGGGTCGTCCTTGCCCAGCAGTCCCCGAACCACAGGCCAGAAGGTGCCCCCAGGGGAGCAGGGCGCTCAGCAGGGTATGCAACAGGAGCCAAGGGGGCGCCTGTCACCTGCTGCTCCCTTCCTGTGCTCTCCTGGCATACAGCAGGCGCTCAATAAAGACACCTGAGTGCTGGGCTCTGTGCTAAGTGCTGCACGGACTGCCGAGAGCCACACTCACACCCGCGATGGACAGCAGAGCAGCCCTGAAGGGCCAGCGCCTGTGGATCAGTGGTCACTCGCTCACTCACCAGCTGGTCGGGGACGTGAGGAGCACTGCTGGCCCGGCCTGTGGGGGCCGCATCACTGTCACACGTGAGGGCCAGACAGCACAGTGGGGGCCTGGCCAGCTTCCACAGTGGGGCGGGGTGCTATGGGGTCACACGGGCCACGGCACCCCTCAGTGCTGCCTGCACGTGCCCGACTGGGGCCGCCGCCACACTCACACCCGCGATGGACAGCAGAGCAGCCCTGAAGGGCCAGCGCCTGTGGCTCAGTGGTCACTCGCTCACTCATCACCAGCTGGTCGGGGACGTGAGGAGCACCACTGGCCCAGCCTGTGGGGGCCGTGTCACTGTCGCACGTGAGGGCCAGACCAGACAGCACAGTGGGGGCCTGGCCAGCTTCCACAGTGGGGCGGGGTGCTATGGGGTCACACGGGCCACGGCACCCCTCAGTGCTGCCTGCACGTGCCCGACTGGGGCCGCCGCCCAGGGACACCTGAGCCAGTCTAGGGCTGCTGCTGCTGGGGTGCCAGGCCTATAACCTCCCCAGAACCCTGGGCCCACTCACCCTCTCCCTCCTCGTCCAGGCCGTGGTCGGCTCGGCCATCCCTGCTGGGCAGGCTCAGCCCCGCGAGGAGGGACTTGAGCATCACCAGGTCACTGCTGTCGAAGGACAGGTCGCTGGGGAGAGCACAGGCGACGGTGAGGACACGGCTCCAGGTGGGGGGTGTGGGGGGGGCAGGGCCCCGACCCCAGGAGGCAGCAGGTCTGTGACCTGGCCGCTGCCCGCCTCC